GCAGGAGATACACTATCTTTTCTTCATCTTGCATGTCCGGGTTGAATCTTGTACACAACGCTAACACATCATAATAGTACGACTGTACTGCTTCACTGTTTCCTTGTCGTCGATTGATTAGTTTGGAGGAAATCTTCAATTTCTGTGCCGACGATGAAAATGCAGCGATGAATTGTTGCTTGAATTCATCATAATCACTCGTATGCTCCTTGCTACGATACCATTTTTTCACATCTTCGCCAAAATACATTGGTAACAATGTTCGTCGATCGGGTTTGGCTGTTTTGGTGGCTTCGAACAATTCTTCGATATCTTGCAACCATGACACTGGGTCTTGCTCGTCTAGACCTGTGAATTTTTCCGCGGCTTGTACACCTTTTAGTAAGATTTGAGTGGCTAAGTTGGATGTCATATTGTCCCGTTGTTGTTTCTGTTGCTGATTTAATCGTTTCTCTTCTTTTTTCTCTTCGTATTGTTTGAGATTTGCCTGCGCTTGCTGGTCCGTTGTGTTCCTTGTGCTTACCAGCTTGTCGCTTTAGTTGGTTTATTACAATATAATATTGTTTGTGATGATGAATTGACAAACAGTTGGCTAGTGCACCAATGTGAGGTTATTCCTTTCGGAATCGCTTTGCATCAAATGGTTAATAGCCAAAGAAGACTGTAACTGTTACTCACACTTTATTTCAGTAAATTAACGCCTATATATAGTATATTTTAGCTACAGGAAGATCCCTTTGGGAAACTGGGAAAAACAGCTATTGTACAAGAGAGAGAGAGAGAAAAGAATGGGAACGAAAAATACCCATTGAAGAGAGTGACCAGAACGACAAAGTATACATCGTTATAGTAAAGCAGAAGAGTGAATACATATGACAAAAGAAAATACCCATCGGCCAGAGTGAACAGAAAGATAAAATATATAATGTAGTAAGGAGAGTGAATATATGACAGAAAGGGAAAATAACTATTGAGTGACGAGAACATGTGTAATGACAGATGACCACAGCTGATATGAGATTTGGTTTATACTTCCTAACAAATATCTCACTAAGACTATGAAGAACATTTGCATATCTTAATTCTTAAATTTTCCCAAACTTTTCATAAATTAACATTGATTTTTTACAATATTCTAGCCCTATACTATACTGACCCAGTAGGCCATAATACCATCCAATACTATTGTACAAACTAGAATTCTCAAGTTCATCATTAAGTTTTAGACTTTCTTGTATTTCTACCGCTTGTTTGTAATGTTCAACACACAAGTCAAACTGTTCAATTTCACCAAAACAATGTCCTAGACGCTTGTGTATTTCAACAATTTTAGATAAATTGTCTGCCGATACATTATTTTTGTAAACTTCTAATTGTTATATCTACAGATATAAGGCACTATTCGTCGCTTCATACAGAAAGGACGTTGCACACTTCTCTTTCCTTTCTTCTCTGTTCTTCTTCGTCTGTGTGATATGTGTGTTATAGGACTGGAAGGACAACTTAACGTTCTCTGTTTTTTGTTCGTCCGCTTGTCTTCTTTTATATACACCAACTATAGTTCCTTTTTAGTCAGTTATAGTTATAAGAATGGAGTACAACCTCTATGAATAATTACCTGATCTCCGTTGGGTATCGTCCTGTCTGGGTCAATATGTTAGATTTCACAGAGCATCTAAGTAATTCACTAGAAATTATACGTAAGACAACTTCTCCTAAATATGACTCTATAATCTTTGTTGGCGATTTTAATGGGCACTGTTTCAACTGGTGTCCATCTGTACCAAGTACGGATGAAGGAGATAAACTATTCCAGTTTTCGTGTGTTGAAGGCCTACACCAGTTGGTATCAGGTGTTACTCGTCCTGAATCGAATACCTGTTTGGACGTGTTATTGACGAGTAACATCTCAGCCGTTACTAATGTTAATATACTTCCTAAACTTTCTACCAAATGTGACCACTTTATGTTACTTTTCTCGCTCGGTAGTAAAAGCAATACTTCATTCAAATATCAAAGGAGGATGTACGACTACAAGAATACTAACTGGGACTCATTCCGACGTGCGCTATTCTCCTTTGATTGGTCATCACACATAAATCAATTTTCTGATGTTTCAGCAAAAGTGATAGCTTGGAGCTCGAAATTTATGGAGATAGCAGATAGAATAATTCCTAATAAACTTGTAACAGTTTCTTCTAAAGATGCGCCATGGTTTAGTAAGGAGCTAAAACAGTTGTTAAAACAGCGCGACCAACTTTTCAGGAAGTATTCCCTGCCAATGTATCCGTCGACCCATTCCTATGAGGCGTACCGTCAAGCTGCCGTTAAGTTCGAAGAAGCTTGTAAATCTGCTAAACAGCATTACCTTAATAGATTTGCAACTGATTTGAACTCATCTAAAAAATGGTGGAGTTTCATGAAACATACAGTTGGTAAACACCGTTCGTCATCTATACCACCTTTACTTGATACAGGTACTGACTTATTAGTTAGTGAGCCGCTTGATAAAGCCGAATTACTTAACCATCATTTTGCAAAAGTTTGCACATCTTCTCAGAATAATCCGACGTTCCCTATGTTAGCACCTCCACGTGTTGTTATGTCGCAGTTTCATATTTATGATACTGAAGTCTTTGAATTATTATCAAATTTAGACACAGCAAAATCTTGTTCGCCTGGCA